GTGACGGGGTTTCGGAGTTTGTGTGCTGCCATGAAACACATCCGAGAATTTTTCTGACTGCCCTAGATCGTTTTCACGCCATTGGGGGTCGGGAATTTGACACACAGATGATATGTTCATGCGACAGCTCGCATTAGATTTAACCACGGAGTTCCCATTATGATGTTGTAGATGGTAGGTCGATCGGTGACTGAGAAGTTGACTATCTTTGTTACCCCGCCGGCTCGGACTGGTAGTTGGATGGTTCCAAGCGTCATCAAAATTTCCCCTGAAAATCCGAGGACAGGCCTCGGGGTCGGAATTACCTGTGACATGTTGATGTTCATTTGTTTGAGCGTTTCGCGAAAGATTACGTCGATGGTGCTGCCAGTGTCAATTAATACTCGGTAAATATCGTGGTCTCCTATCGCTAACATGACGACTATTGGATCGTTGTGAGGCATGTCGAGCCCGTTTGTCTCGCTTTCTTCGAATGTGATCACGTCATTAGGTCGATCGAAGCGTCTTGTCCAGTTGCTAGGCGTCTCAGCTCGGCGTTGATAAGCTTTGATTGCCGCTACGGTGTCGGGACAGTATGGCGATCCACCCATTATGGTGAGAACCTTCTGTCGCGTACCATCTCGGCCTTCATCTTCCGTCCCCCGGGTTCTTTTCTGAGACTCCTGGTTCATTGGTTCGGGGTCTCTTCCCAGGTTGGTCTGCTTGGGCTCTGGCTCTGGCTCGGGATCCTTAAGAGTGACGTTTGTCCCGAGCTCTCCAGCTAGGAATTTGGTTGCTAACTTAGCTCCGAGGCTTCGGTATCTCGAGGTATGGTGGCCGAAAATTTTGTGGTGTTCGCAATATTCTTGATCATTGCTCGGTGGCTGATCCCTTGTCTAGGTGAAGGACTCTCTTCCTCGCCCACGGCCTCGGCCTCTGCCGCGGCTATGGCCTCGGGGCGTGTCAATCTGGTAGTTATGATATCCTGAGAAATTGCGCCCTTCGTGATGCGTATACGTACCGTTCTCACGTATCTTCTTCTGGACCGGAGGTGTCGCTTGGGCTTTCTCGGTTTTCTCGGCTCGGGGCGCCTGTTTCGTTGGCTCGAGCCTCTTTGCTAGCAGCGCCATCTCTTCTTCGTGGGCGACGAAATCTGAGGCTCGATGCAGCGCGTCGCGAATTGTTGTTGGTTTAGACAGATTCAACTCTTTCCTGAATTCTGACTTGTACCAGAGAGCTTTCTTTAAAGCCGAAAGAGCGGCTATATATGTAATTCTTTCGACCTTGGCTAGCGTCGATTTGAAGGTTTTGAGGAAATCTCTTAACGGCTCGGTGGGCTGTTGAGACAGAGACCACAGATCCGCGTCGGAGGTTCCGGGGTCGATGAGCACGGAATATTGCTTGAGGAACAGTGTCGACAGCTCGTCGAAACTGTCAATCGAGTTTCGTTCCAATCTTGAAAACCACTATAATGCGGGTCCTTTGAGGTGTTTCACGAACAGTAAGCATAGACCTGCATCCTTTTCGCCGGGCTTGAACCTGGTTCGGGCCACAGATATCACGAACGATTTAATGTGGCACTTCGGGTCGGTTGATCCGTTGTAAGAGTCGATTTTGAACTTTCCCAGATTGGACATCGTCGTTTTGGAAATTCTTTTGGTGAAAGGTGTATTCCGAGATTCTTCCAAAATTCGGTCGATGTTCAGTGCGGAGGATGAAACGCTATGTATCTGGGTTTTGACGAGCTTCATATCAGCTTCCGCCTTGGCTAGGGAGGCTCGGATCTTGCTTAGCTCGTCTTCTCTTTCAGATTCTTCGGCCCACCTTATGTTTTCCTCAGTTTCTTCGTCATCAGTAAGGTCCGTTCGCTCGGCGGAGTTGGCTCCGGCTCGAGTGCGCTCATCTTGCAGATCATCTGGCTCATTCGTCAAGTCCACTGCGTCTGGCTCGGTGGGATTATCTTGGTTCTCGCGTCTGGCAGGGTCCGCTCGGTTTGCGACTCTGGTGTTGTCGGTTGGTGTCGCGAACGTGAGTCTCGTTGGGTTGATGCCAGGAAAGTCCCTCCGAGCCCGTGGCGGCCGAGTCTGGAAACACGTGGTTTTTTGTTGCCCACGTGTTGCGATTTCGTCGACTCGCTGCGCCAAGGTTTTGTTAGCTTTCTCTTGGTCGTCAGCTTTCTTCTGGAATTTAACCATCAGGTCTTTCAGTTCGGCTAGAGTCGCTATGATCGTCGGATCGGCTTGAGGATTCTGAGGGTTCGGAGGGTTCGGGATCCCTCCTCCAGCTGGTGGTGTCTGACGACCGTCTTCGTTCATCGTCCTTTTCGGTAATCGAGTTCTGCGTCTTAGGGTAAGAGAATTCTAAAGTATCTCCACAGACGGCGCCAAACTGTGGAAGTCGAAACTAACACAATCGAGATTTGTCTAGGGTTTTATTTTAGGGATACGATAAACGTGAATTCTCAAAAAACAACAGAAACGATTGTAACCAAAGATGGTGTTCTTGATATTATTAAGAAAAAGATGACTTTGATCGTACAAGAGTTTGATCGTAAAAGGAAAAAGATGTTTGTGCTGTGAGAGCTTTGCATAGTGTAAATTCTAGAGCGATCTTGCCTCCTTTCTGCGAGAGCCTTGAATCTCTTTAAATAGGGGTGATAAACCGCCTCTCCAGCGATATTCTCGGAAGATTTCCATTTATCTTGAAGTCGGCCTAGAATATCGCGGGTTTAGGATAGTTTCCTTATTCTTCGAGGTTTCTTGGAAGATTTCTTGATTTGAGTTGATCCTTCAATATTCTCCCTTATCATTTCCGGGTATATCGGAAATGATGCCTTGCTTAGAAATGATACTCTGAAGGCGAATATTTACCAAGTCTTTACCTCGGGTAAATCATGAATTCCCCTCGGGTAATTCGGAAGCTGATCGGTGTTTGGCTCAGAGATAAGAGAAGCGTGGCCCAGGCTTCCGAGGAGAATCGGCTCGGGTACGCGGAAGGTAATAGCTCGGGTGTCTTGGCGAGAACCGGCTCGGGTACTTGAAGAGCCGGTTCGGGTTTCCGAGCTTGCCTGTGGATCCCGAGGCGGCTGACATGTTCCCCCGAGGCAAATGGTTTGCTGCACCGAGGTGATTGGTATACTTCCCCGAGGTGTCTTCGGAAGCTCCTTAAAGTGTCCAAAGTTCGGCTTGGTATTTGAGGGATGGAATCCGACCCCAACAGCGGGGAATATGCATTGGCAGAGATTTGGTGAAGACTCAGTTGGGAAAAGTTATTGGATCCGGCGACAACACCTTAATCTGGTCTGAGCCTTGGATTTATTTATCCCAAACAACTACTCCTATGGGACCAGCCACTGCACACTCTCAAACCGCAACAGTAGAAAGCCTCTTCTGTCCTTTGTCTCATGAATGGATTAGAGAGAATGTTCATCAACTTCTTCCTGCTTACGAGAAAGAGATCTTGGAGATAAGGCCAAGCAAATTTGGAGCCCAGGATCAATACATCTGGTTGCTAACAAAAACAGGAGAATACAGTACCAAATCTGGTTACCAAGCAGCAACAATGGAGGACAAGGATCCATATCTTTCTCCCAGTCCCCATTCAGACTTTAATTGGATCAAAGATATCTGGAACATAAAAAGTTCACCAAAGATGAAGTTTTTACTTTGGAAAGCTATGAAGGGAGCTCTACCTGTAGAAGACAACCTTAGATCCCGAGGGATTAATAATGCAGCCTTATGCCCACATTGTGGACAAGAAGAAACATGCCTTCATCTTTTCTTCCACTATAATTTTGCAAGCCAAGTGTGGGCACTCGTTCCGTTTAGGAATCCTTTGAATGCAGCCCGGATCTCGAGTCTGAGACTAGGGATTGAAGTCTCCAATCAATTGGTGTGCCTACCGCCAAACAAAATTGGTGAATCTCCTCTTCTTCCCTGGATTTTGTGGTCAATAACCAGTGGCCTCGGATGTCGTCAATCAAGCTATAATCCAAGCGAAAGATTGGATTGCAGCCCAGATTCCTCGAATCGCAGAATCGCCTATTCCCTGCCCAAACCAGTCGATAACAACTCCAGCTGAATCGATCAGATGCTTCACAGACGCCGCGTGGAGAGAAGACTCACGGGTAGCGGGATTCGGTTGGATCTTCAAGGATCACTTGGCTCAATCGGAGAGATGCAATAAATCATCAGCAAAGAACGTTAGCTCTCCACTTATGGCAGAGGCGATTGCACTCCTTCTGGCTCTACAACAAGCCCTTGATTTGGGTTTCAAAATCATTTCTTTTGCTTCAGATTGGCAGCAGCTAATCAAAGCACTCAACTTGGAACTTCGAAGGAGCTCCATGGGATTCTCCACGGCATCTTATTTCTATCTTTAGGTTTTGATGATTGTAGCTTCTCATATGTGCAGAGGGATCCTAATCGATCTGCTGATGAGTTAGCAAAATCCGCTCTTTTATTTGCTTCTGCTGTACCAGTTTCTATTTGAATGAAATCTACCTTTTTATATATTATCTTCAAAAAATCAAAAGTCAAGCAAAAAACAATTTTGTTTTGTTTTTTTTTTTTATTATTTACAAATTAAGGTAGTTTAGTTTTTAAAGGATTTTATAAATTTGATGAATTATGTTTGATTCTCAATTGCTGTTTTACTTTTAGTAAGTTATTATTATTTTTATTTTTTTTGTAGTAGGCTAATTAATTTTCCACTATTTCCTACTTAAAACAGTTGTGTTTTTTTTTTTTTTTTTGGTAGGAAACAGTTGTGTTGATTTCTATAAAAGCTTTGACTGGAATCTATCATTAAGACATAAAATCAAAATTTTCCATTTATGCTTTTTATGTCATTAAGTTCTCTCATAGTCAAACACTCAATTCTAAATACAAGTAAATAATTAAATATAGGAAAATCTGTCTTTTCCTTTTTTTTTTATTATCTTAACAAAATATCCAATAATATTACAGAATATAATCCATCTACAGTAGTTTGTTACTACAAATCACAAACAGATACGCAACAAAAACTCTCTAGTTGGCTTCTGTTACGATCTTTCGCCGTCTTTTAAAACACACAAAACCTTTTTCGTGTTAAAACAACAAAAATGGTTAATGAGCAAAAGAGATTTGCTTTGTTTCTTGCCACAAGCGATTCAACGTTCGTGAAGAAAACGTATGGAGGATATTTCAACGTGTTTGTTTCGACTTTTGGTGAAGATGGTGAGCAATGGGATCTGTTTCGAGTGATCGACGGTGAGTTTCCGGACGATAAGGATCTGGATAAGTACGACGGTTTTGTTATCAGTGGAAGCCTTCATGATGCTTTTGGTGATGATGATTGGATCGTTAAGCTTTGTTCTCTTTGCCAAAAACTTGACGACATGAAGAAGAAGGTTCTTGGTATCTGCTTTGGCCACCAGGTTTGATCTGATCTGTTGAGATTTATGGTCTGATCTTATCCGTTGGATCGTACTTGATTAGGGTTTTTTGTAAAACCCATTTGCTCAAATAATCACTAGATTTATCACTCTTTATACACTATGAATTATCATAATCATAGAAGATGATTTGGTTGATG